GTGGGTCAGCAGTGGACTGCCGCAGGGGCTCTGGGTGCAGCAGACATGGGTATGGCATTAGCCCTCTTGGAGGAGGTCACCATTAACCCCACTATAAAGCTGCCAGAACTTACACAGGACTGGGAAATAGACTCTTGTGCACCAGGACCCAGGAGAAAGGAGCAGTGACCCCATAGGAGACTGACCCAGACTTGCCCAGGAGTCTCTGGCAGAGGCATGGGTCAGTGTGGCCTGCTGCAGGGTTGGGGGCACTGAGTGTAGCAGTGCGTGCATGGGACCTTTTGAAGGAGCTCACCATTACCTTCATTACCCCCGCCATGGTTTGGCTCCAGGTAAATAGCAGGGAGGGAACAACAACCGCACCCATAAACAGAAAATTGGACTAAAGATTCACTGAGCACGGCCCCGCCCATCAGAACAAGACCCAGTATCTCCCTCAGTCAGTCTCTCCCATCAGGAAGCTTCCATAAGCCTGTTATCCTTCCCCATCAGAGGGCAGACAGACTGAAAGCCACAACCACAGAAAACTAACCAATCTGATGACACAGACCACAGCCTTGTCTAACTCAGTGAAACTATGAGCCATGCCCTGTAGGGCCAACTAAGACAGACGGGTCATGGTGGACAGTTCTGACAAAATGTCGTCCACTTGAGAAGGGAATGGCAAACCATTTCAGTATTCTAGCTTTGAGAACCCCATGAACAGCATGAAGAGGCAAAAAGATAGGACACTGAAAGATGAGCTACCTAGGTTGGTAGGTGCCCAATATGCTACTGGAGATCAGTGGAGAAATAACTCCAGAAAGAATGAAGAGACGGAGTCAAAGCAAAGACAACACCCAGTTGTGGATGGGACCGGTGATGGAAGCAAGATCCGATGCTGTAAAGAGCAACATTGCATAGGAACCTGGAATGTTAGGTCCATGAATCAAGGCAAATTGGAAGTGGTCAAACAGGAGATGGCAAGAGTGAACATCAACATTTTAGGAATCAGTGAACTAAGGTGGACTGGAATGGGTGAATTTAACTCAGAT